CTTTTATTTATTTATTTTTTTAAACATCTTTATCGGGGTATAATTGCTTTACAATGCTGTGTTAGTTTCTGCTTTATAACAAAGTGAATCAGTTATACATATGTTCCCATATCTCTTCCCTCTTGCGTCTCCCTCCCTCCCACCCTCCCTATCCCACCGCTCCGGGCGGTCACAAAGCACCAAGCGGATATCCCTGTGCCATGCGGCTGCTTCCCACTAGCTATCTACCTTACGTTTGTTAGTGTATATATGTCCATGCCTCTCTCTCGCCCTGTCACAGCTCACCCTTCCCCCTCCCCATATCCTCAAGTCCGTTCTCCAGTAGGTCTGTGTCTTTATTCCTGTCTTACCCCTAGGTTCTTCATGACATTTTTTTCCCCTTAAATTCCATATATATGTGTTAGCATATGGTATTTGTCTTTTTCTTTCTGACTTACTTCACTCTGTATGACACACTCTAGGTCTATCCACCTCATTACAAATAGCTCAATTTTGTTTCTTTTTATGGCTGAGTAATATTCCATTGTATATATGTGCCACATCTTCTTTATGCCTTTTATTTTTACAAATTAGAATAATTAAGAAATGATGTTGACCATCTGTATGTCTTCTTTGGAGAAATGTCTATTTAGGTCTTCTGCCCATTTTTTTGATTGGGTTGTTTGTTTTGATGATATTAAGTTGCATGAGATATCACTTATATATGGAATCTTTAAAAAAAAAAAAGGATACAAATGATCTTATTCACAAAACAGAAACAAACTCACAAACTTAGAGAACGAACTTATGGTTACCAGTGGGGAATGGTGGTGGGGAGGGATAGTTAGGGAGTTTGGGATTGTCATGTACACACTGCTATATTGAAAATGGATAACCAACAAGGACCTACTGTATAGCACAGGGAACTCTGCTCAATATTATATAACAACCTAAATGGGAAAAGAATTTGAAAAAGAATTTTAAAGAAAGGAAAAGAAAATCTGTTCTTCAACTAAAAAAAAAAGAAAAGAAAAAGAAAAAAGAAAAGATGTTGAAATGGATTCCCTTTTCAGTTCCAGGATACCTTGCTTTTTTCTTATCCCATCCTTTCCCTCTTCTTCCCCTCCCTCCCTCTCCAGCCCTTAACAGTAAGTAGCTTTGTACTCACTGAGATCACTTATATAATAGCTTTTGCACACTCAAAATTTTTTATTGATTTTATGACTTATACTGATGTTATGGGATAGGATAAAGTGACATCTCATACTTTAAGATTAACAGTCCAATACATACTCAAATTTCAACATTTCTGCAACATCTAATCAGTTCAGCTATTCCAATCACCACAACAATTTAAATCTCATAATAAGAGTTAAAATTATCCTAAGGAAACACAAATGGAGCAAGCTTTGGGTGTTTGTCCAACAGATGTTTAATTTACTAATTTTAACTAACATTTGTGAATTTTTGAATTATCATTTGCAATTACGTGAGTCAGAGAATCTTAGCATCCTGGCAATGGAAAATATTAGTATAAACGCCCTCACCAAATTTCTGCATCAATACACTAAACATTAGGTAAACATTAACAATCAAAAAAATTAAAGACAAAATACAGCACATGATGTTATAGGACAATTAATATACGTGCATGTCCAAAAATTTGTAACCAGGGAAGATGAGACAATGCAGTACAAACAAATTAAGTGTTTGAGACGTCTAATGCAATCTTCAGCCTCTCAAGATCACATCCCTATTGAAACACTTCTCCATGTGGGTACAGTTTTCAAGTCCCCTCAAAGTAACGACTTATGATGTACATGATGCAGAATACAATCTTCAAACTCCCTTGGAATGTGACAACATTTTGTAAGCAATCCATGCATCATTGAAAAAGAACACACTTTGTCAATAAAAGCCAACAAAAGTTTGGTAAGACACTGGGTTGTTCTGATGGAATCTTGATGGCACATGTAACAGAGATATAAATTAGGCACTACTTTTCATATAAGGCCTGTGAACCCAGAAAAAAATTTACCAAGAAAAATGTTTATGACAATTAAAAGAAAGTAAGAGAGATTTAAAGAAAGGAAAAGAAAATCTGTTCTTCAACTAAAAAAAAAAGAAAAGAAAAAGAAAAAAGAAAAGATGTTGAAATGGATTCCCTTTTCAGTTCCAGGATACCTTGCTTTTTTCTTATCCCATCCTTTCCCTCTTCTTCCCCTCCCTCCCTCTCCAGCCCTTAACAGTAAGTAGCTTTGTACTCACTGAGATCACTTATATAATAGCTTTTGCACACTCAAAATTTTTTATTGATTTTATGACTTATACTGATGTTATGGGATAGGATAAAGTGACATCTCATACTTTAAGATTAACAGTCCAATACATACTCAAATTTCAACATTTCTGCAACATCTAATCAGTTCAGCTATTCCAATCACCACAACAATTTAAATCTCATAATAAGAGTTAAAATTATCCTAAGGAAACACAAATGGAGCAAGCTTTGGGTGTTTGTCCAACAGATGTTTAATTTACTAATTTTAACTAACATTTGTGAATTTTTGAATTATCATTTGCAATTACGTGAGTCAGAGAATCTTAGCATCCTGGCAATGGAAAATATTAGTATAAACGCCCTCACCAAATTTCTGCATCAATACACTAAACATTAGGTAAACATTAACAATCAAAAAAATTAAAGACAAAATACAGCACATGATGTTATAGGACAATTAATATACGTGCATGTCCAAAAATTTGTAACCAGGGAAGATGAGACAATGCAGTACAAACAAATTAAGTGTTTGAGACGTCTAATGCAATCTTCAGCCTCTCAAGATCACATCCCTATTGAAACACTTCTCCATGTGGGTACAGTTTTCAAGTCCCCTCAAAGTAACGACTTATGATGTACATGATGCAGAATACAATCTTCAAACTCCCTTGGAATGTGACAACATTTTGTAAGCAATCCATGCATCATTGAAAAAGAACACACTTTGTCAATAAAAGCCAACAAAAGTTTGGTAAGACACTGGGTTGTTCTGATGGAATCTTGATGGCACATGTAACAGAGATATAAATTAGGCACTACTTTTCATATAAGGCCTGTGAACCCAGAAAAAAATTTACCAAGAAAAATGTTTATGACAATTAAAAGAAAGTAAGAGAGAGCTTAATTTAACACGTTTGAAAGCAATCTGCCTGGATTTTCAGCTTTCCCGGATTTCTTCCAACATTTGGAATGATTTAAGCAATGCCACTTTTGAGGTTATACACAGGAATACTGTAATCTGTTATGGCTACAAAACAGAAAATATAACCCACCAGACTAAAAACTAGAGCAAATTAATCTAGGCTGTATTCTTATTCAATATTTGATTGCCTTTTCCCAATAGTCCTTCATAACCCACATTTGTTAGATATATCAAAGAGTGACATTCTAAGGGTAATAGACATGCAATGGAAATAAGTAAAACCTAAACCTAAAAAGAGTATTTCCAGACTTATAATAATCAGTGCCAAAGCTCAGTTTCCCAAGCTGATTTGGATTCATATTCTACCCTCAAATGACATTTTTCTGAATGTCAAGAAAAATGGTAGAATCTGAGCACCAAGAAAAATGGTAGATCCACAGGTTTAGGGAGAAGGAGATAAATATAACCTTGATTTATTGTCACTTAGCTTCTCTCTTTATTCAATAAGAATATTTATTTCTCAAATCTCTTATGCTAATAAACATTAACCCATAAAGATGTATGCAGTTGTGCATTCATCATAGGAGGCTTTGCTATCTAAACAAAAACAGAAAAATAGAAGACCTAATCAAAGATCCATATTTTAGGTTTTCACAATGCCAAGTATACGGACAAAACTGGTAATTATATTTTATTTCTTAGGTTTAGTTCTTGTCTAGAATTTAATGTTGTCCTGACTTAGGCATTGTAGTTGTTTAACTAAAGCATTACTTATATCAACTGTAAAGATGATAACTCTGGCTTGACTTTCTCTAGAACTTGGCTTCCCTTAATACCTATCACATCTGTGGGATGCTGCTTTAACCACCCTTCCCTTCTCAATTGACATCTGATATTTAGGACTAATCACATTTTAAAATTACCCCATATTCAAATAGCCCAAACACACTCATACATAGACAGACAAACACGCACATGCATGCACACAAATATGTATGTACATTTACATGTAATCCAGCTATCCATAGAGGTTATTGTAAAGGATTGTGATATTTTTAACTGAGATTTTCAAACTGACTTTATTTCAACACAGTGCTTTCCTTAATTGCATATTCACTACCAATAATTTGTATTACCCAAAAGATAGAGGGCATGAGCTGTAAAACATCATAAATATCATAAAATGTTCTCATCATATGAGAGCAAAGTAAGAAGACTGTGCCATTCAAGGAAAACCAAAATGTCATAATTTAAAAATGTCATAATTTAAACCAAATCATTGCAATCTTCCCATGTTTCTTCTTATTTGTCCCCTTTAATTCAACAAAGATCACTGGTTATTTTATCTTTCCTTTTCCTCTTCATCATATACACATGTCCTCACATCTTTGACATGACATCAAAAACAAAACAACACTACCATTTATTCTGTCATTTGCATATAAACCAGTTGGGTCACACAGTTTCCAAGTGAATCGTTATACTAGGTATTTTCTAAATTTTACTTAGGCATACAGGGAAGAGAAACAATACAATTTTATACTTTTCCATTTACATACATATTATTACCTGGAGAGTGAGAAATATATCTCTTTAGAAATACAGCAAATTTTCATGGGTGTCCAGAACTTTCAGATTTAACATTGCCTTGAGGAAAAATGAAAAGTAAATAGTGAAAAGTGAATTTGTAGCATTCTTTATAGGATATTATTAATGCTGTTGAATAAAACAGTTAGGGTTTTTGGTTTTGCTTTTATTGTTTTTAAAACCTGAGCTTTAGATGCATAAGTCTAGGAGATTCGGAGGACAAAATCAAATGATGCAAGAAACAGTAAGTCAAGTGGAAATATATTTAGAGTAAAACTTTTTTCTTCCATACGACTTTTCTCATGGCATCTTTAACATCTTTATTTCTTAGAGAGTAGAGTAAAGGGTTCAGCATAGGTGTGAATAAAATGTAACATACTGAAGCCACTTTACGAAGTTCTGGGTTATTTGGCGGTGTGAGGTAGACAAAGGAGACAGCCCCATAGAGCAAACTTACAACCCCCAGATGGGAGCTGCAAGTGGAGAAGCCTTTCCACCTTCCTTCGCTGGAGCAGATCTTTAAAACTGTGGACACAATATCATGTAAGATACTACAGTGACAACTATTGTGGGCAAATAAAGAGGATAGCCAAACCAAGTGACACCATCTTATTGATAAAGACATTGGAACAGGAGATCTTCTCAATCGGGTTTGAATCATAGTAGAAGTGATCAATGACTCGAGAGGCACAGAAGGACATTTGAGAATGTTACACTGATTTGAAGAATGGAACTGACGCAGCCATGGAGATAAGAACCAGCCACCAACTGGATACAGAGACTTCTTGACATGTGGACAGTATAGAGGAGCAGGTTGCAGATAGCAATGAAATGGTCATAGGCCATGGCTGCCAAGACAAAGGCCTCTGTTACCATGAAAAGTGCATAAAGAAAGAGCTGAGCCACACAACCTGCAAAGGATATGGTCTTTTTCTGAGACAGGATGTTGACCATGGCTCTGGGTACAATAACAGTGGAGTAGGAGAGGTCAGTGTTGGAGAGATTGCCTAGGAAGAAATACATTGGTGTGTTTAGCTGGGGATCAGTCACAATGATGCCAATCATACTAAGGTTTCCCAGAAGGACCATCCCATAAACGATCAGGAATAGCAGGAAGAGGAGACTGTGGAACTCTGGACGGACCCTGATGCTGCAAGAATGAAGTCAGTCACTTCCGAATGGTTGTCTCCTCCCTTATCACCCATGGCAAACTTCTGCTTAAAGGCATAAGAGAAAGTCAACAAGTAAAGTTTCTGCTCTTTCTCTACTCTCACAAATAACACTTCACATTTAAGAAGACTTTCTAGGGGCTTCCCTGGTGGCGCAGTGGTTAAGAATCCGCCTGCTGGTTCAGGAAACACTAGTTCGAGCCCTGGGCTGGGAAGATCCCACATGCCACAGAGCGACTAAGTCTGTGCGCCGCGACTACTGAGCCTACACTGTAGAGCCCGCGAGCCACAACTACTGAGCCTGCACTCTAGAGCCCATGAGCCACAACTACTGAAGCCCTCGTGCCACAACTACTGAAGCCCGTGTGCCTAGAGCCCATGCTCTGCAACAAGAGAAACCACTGCAATAAGAAGCCTGCGCACCGCAAAGGAGAGTAGCCCCCACTTGCCGCAAGTAAAGAAAGCCCACGCACAGCATCAAAGACCCAGCGCAGCCAAAAATAAATAAATAAAAAATTTAAAATAAATAAATAAAAAGACTTTATAGTTGACATAATACTTTCATATCCATTATCCCATTAAGCTTACACACATGGCCAAAGGAAAATGAGAGATAGTTTGACTTGCCTGAGGTAACACACCTGGTTAAAAATGGAATTTGGACTCAAGATGAAATATTTTGAATTCAAGTCTAGGGTTAATTACAACACAACATAACTTGACACTTATTTATATCTCCCTACCTTGTCAAATGAGATGTTTTGTGAGATGTCATCTGTGATTTCAAAATATTAAAATCTGATAAACTTGTACTAAGAAAAAGACACTTACTTAAATTTCAATTTATCATTTAATATTCATCTTTATCTGTAATACTTTGCTTCAATTCAGTAATAAAAAATAAATGAAGGAAAAGGAAGCTAAAAGTACATTCCAAGATAATATGAACTTTCTACCAAAAAGAGCTCTTACAACTGCAAGTACATTACTAAATAACTAACTGTCATACTTAGAGATCTTTTAAAATGAAATCAGTCTTCAACTTCTGGAACCAGTCTAATTTTATTTAAGTGCAAAAACAAAATGTGAGTGATACCTTTATATTTTTTATCCTGTGATGTTTATTTATTTATTTAATTTATTATTTTTTTTGCGGTACGCGGGTCTCTCACTGTTGTGGCCTCTCCCATTGCGGAGCACAGGCTCCGGACGCGCAGGCTCAGCGGCCATGCCTCACAGGCCTAGCCGCTCCGCGGCATGTGGGATCTTCCCGGACCAGGGCACGAACCCGTGTCCCCTGCATCGGCAGGTAGACTTTCAACCACTGCGCCACCAGGGAAGCCCCTGTGATGTTTATTGATCCTAGTTTTCTCTACATAAATCTGTCAAGACATCCATGTCATCTCAAACTTTTCTAAATAAGAGAAAAAAAATTGAAGTTTCATTATAAGGAACCAATCAAAAATGTTAACTGTGTAAAAGAATATATTAGATTAGATAGCAAATTTTACTGAACTCTTAATATGATGGTTAGAGCTCAGTAGTTTTAAGAACAAATAAATATTGATTTCCCAGGAGCATCCAAATTAACCTGTTTGAATTTGGGTGACCTGTTAAGTAACCAAGACAACTTTGGTTAATTTGAAAGGTTTCTATTATTTCTCTATGAAACAACACATTCATTGTCAATTAAGTTGTCTAGCAATTAAGGATAATCTTACACATCTTTTCTTCTAGATGGCATTTAAACCAAATGTCATTTATCCTTCCAGAGAGTGGTATGGATAATGAAAACCAGCAAACGATCCACAAAATGTCTTTACCAAATTAAAATGAATGATATAGTAACAATCAAAATTAGAGAGTATGCTGAGTTTCTTTTTGACTCTCAAAATTCCCTCAATTGTAAGAGCTTTTATTTTTTTGTTTTTCTCTGGTCTGCAAAAATCCCTTGGATCCTAAAGCCTTCATGATCTTCTCTGCTTCTTTCACTTGTTTCTCCCAATAACTTTCTCAGAAAAGGACACGAGGGAATTCCCTGGCAGTCCAGTGGTTAAGACTCCCCGCTTTCACTGCCGAGAGCCTGGGTTTGATCCCTGGTCGGGGAACTAAGATCTCACAGGCCATGCACTGCGCGCCCCCCCCCAAAAAGGACGTAAAGTTAATTCATATAAATTCAGATCAAGGGGGGAACAAAATAATAATACTATTCTCAGTCTCCATCCTCACTCCACTGCTCTGCTACATATTTGAAATCCGTTCAAATAATTGTATAGCAGTTTGGTTTTATTAGGGGATGAGGGAATGAATTAAGTTTACAAGTTAACATACATGAAGACAATTATCTTTTATTCTAGAACTAATAGAATGACTCTTTTTAGGCATAAAGCTGAAGGGAGCAGTTTCAGCCATCATGTGTTGGTTTGCAATCAGGAAAAGAAGATTTAGAATAGAAAGCACTTCTGAAACATGCTAAGATCATTTCACAAAACTTCTTTCTGCAAAGAGACACAAAATTAATAGGCCTTGCACTTTGCTCCTATTTAAAAAGGAGGAGGAGGAGAAGAGGAAGAATAAGGAGCAGAAGATGGAGAAGGAGAAGAAATTTTGTTCTTAAGCCAAAAAGTCAAATGTTACTTTTTGATGCTATATCAATAAAAGTAACATATTAATATTTCAAGGATAACCTAACCTGGGATAATGTAATAGAGTAATATCATTTATATTGCTTTTGTACAAAAGTATAGGATATAGACTAAGAAAAGATTCACCTCTCTTCATAGAATTACAAAGAGTCCATATTAGGCAAGAAATAATAAAAATAGAGACAATGGAGGAGTTTTATAATTTTGAATTCTTCTAAGAAGTGGAACAAGAGAGAAAGAAAGAGATCATAGAATATACATCATTAGTACTATTTTAAACATCACTTACCATATGCCCAGTCTGATTTAACCATGATCTTCCTTAAAGCAATGAAATATGAATTATCGGGCTTTACTTTCATCTTGATAATATTTCACTCGTGGCACAGCACATTTTGAAATTCAAGAAAAATATATTTTAATCATATAGAAAATGTTCTTGGCTACCTTCTAGGTGCTCATTGAAATAATTTTTGAACAGAAATACTTCAAGATTGCTTGGTAATGCCTCCTTAAAGGTTTATGAAGATCTGTTAATTAATTTAAGAGGTGTACACCTGTTAAATCACTATAAATCCAGCTTTGTTTTCACAGAGATTCTAGGAGAGCTCATTAACATAAAGATACCTGAGGGACCTTCAAGATGGCAGAGGAGTAAGATGTGGAGATCACCTTCCTCCCCACAAATACATCAAAAATACATCTACATGTGGGGCTTCCCTGGTGGCGCAGTGGTTGAGAGTCCGCCTGTCGATGCAGGGGACATGGGTTCGTGCCCCGGTCCGGGAAGATCCCACATGCTGCGGAGCGGCTAGGACCATGAGCCGTGGCCGCTAAGCCTGCGCGTCCGGAGCCTGTGCTCCGCAACGGGAGAGGCCACAACAGTGAGAGGCCCGAGTACCACAAAAATCAAACAAACAAACAAACAAACAGAGAGCTTTGAAGCAAAAACAGAAAATGTTAAATTTGCTAAATTGAGAAAGTTCCTAGATGGCCATGTATTACACTGTTTTCAGTACTTTCCACAGCGGTGAAGTGTTTTAGTTGTTTTAAAAATTGAAATAGAGATAATGAGAGGTTGTCTCAGCAAAAAGTAATGAGCACAGTCTTACTCTCTGTCCTGACTCCCTGGTCCTTGAATGACACATGAAATCACTTTTTTCCTTTCTCTCTAGCTGCTAACCCACGTGTGATACCGGTCACAATAAGTTGACATCAGCCAATCCCAAATTCTACCTGCTGACCTAATCTTACACTCCAGCTTACTGCTTACTTCTCTTTTTGTCTTATAGTTTGGAAGAGTAATTTCACCACATGCTTGGATGAACCATTAAGTGGCCAGCAGCTCTTCCAAACTCAAAAATCTCCCCACACATATCAACCAGTTGCTGTTGACTAAAAACAGTGAATTTTGCTCAAGATGCATGTTTTTTTAAGACACAGTGACTTTATACAGAGGAGAACATCAGAGGTGTCTTTTCCTCTGAATGGGAATTGGAGCTCCAAGGATCAGGCTCCAGACTTGAATGAACAGCTACACCGTTCTATCTTCTCCAGAGCTCCACTTCAGCTTCATTAGACTTTGAAGAAGAGAGGTACAATATAAAAGTGACACGAGCATATACATTTCCAAATATTTCCAAAGTGCTTAGATCTATACTTTAGTACCTATATTTTTAAAGCAATATTTGTAAAGTACTTATGACAACATAAAAGAGGTACATACTGAAACTGTTCATTATTGTTCATTCAATAAATCCTGACTGAGTGCTCACTAGCAGTAAGGCGCTGTGCTAGCAAAGCTCTCTATATAATGGGACATGTGTGCATGGTACTGAAAAATGTATTTTCTAAAAACTACTCAGGAAAAAATTGGCTTTTGTGTATGACAGAAATACCTTTTATTCTAAGTTTAAGAAATAACTGACTTTAAATCTCATAACTTCATAAAATGGATTCATCTTTTTCATCAAAAAAAATTATGTGTATAGATGTGGTACGTGATTACTTATAGGGTCAGTCAGTAGAAACAAGCTCAGCTGTAGAGTATTGCATCCCAAAGCTTCCAAATGCTAAGCAAATATCTGTATTCCTTTAGGAGAAACCAGTATTAAAATGTAATATCAAATCAGAAATTTTCGAAACGAGTGAATGTGGACAACCGAAAATACCATGTGGTGGCAGCACGTCCCTATGATAACACCGCTTCCACACTGACTTGTCCGTGGTCAGAAAGAAAACCTTGAGTGAGATGTGCCCCCATTAAATCCTAAGTGTTAACCTTAGGAAGAACTTCAGGATCAATTTAGCCCAAGTTTCCCTTCACCTTCCAAAGAGGAAACCTAATTTCTGAAAAATTGAGGCATTTTTCCAAAGTCAAACAAGCAGTTA